CCTGATGTTTTAAAGCAAATTGCTAAAATTAAGAGTAAGATATGATATTATTTTAAAGAAATAATGCTAAGATAACTATGTATAGTAGACCAAATATCACTGTGTTAATGTATTTTTGTATATTTGTCAGTTAGATGTTCAGTATAGGGAAGAACACATAGGTTCCTGGCTCCAGAATAGTTTTTCAAATGACATGACGATTTATTTCCCCAGATTTTGTTGCTGCTTTAGCAGTACTTCCAAGCATTTGTTGCTGTTGTTCCAATGGACCTCTATGTTACAAAATGGTAACCTTGAAATTTCCTCAAATTCAGATCCAGTGCTATGAATACTTTCAGTAAAACCCCATCCAAATAGCTGAAAATGTGAAATCGTTACTTTTACACTTTCCAAAAGGAAGCTGCTGTGGGTAAGAAGGAAGGAATATGTTCGAGATTTTCAACTGTTTTAAATGCAAAATAAAGTAAAGATGATGGCCGACTCCTTCCTCTTCCTCTGTCACTACTTTCCATGGTATGCTCTCAGTCCCTTGTCTGGAATGAGAAAACTTGGGCTTCTTATTTCTCCTGAGACTAGCCTGTTGGGCTGTGTAGTGTTTATGGTTGAGAGTATCTCAGTCTGTTTTTAAACTCATTACTGGAAACTGGGGGATTATCCTGGGGAAGGATGTGTACGTGCTTTTCCTTGCTTGCTGCACTGAACATCTGCCATTGGCCGCTCCTGATAGAGGATATCAGGTTAAATGCAGCGTTGATCTGATCCAGTATGGCTGTTTTTCTGTTCCTTCACAGATAATTAATTATTTTCTGGGCCAGAAAGAAAAAAGACACTGGTGTGAGGACACTTGTATAAGATAAAGACCCAGACTACTGTTGTTAGTTTGGCACAAAAGATGTTTAATGAACCACTAGAGCCTGGGGACTCTCCACTTACGTTGCTACTGCCCTGGTTTTCCTTGCACCCTTTGGCTCTGTAAAAGGTGCCAAAATCATCTCTGGGATATTCAGTTTCTGAGTTTCTGTCTTCATTCTTTTTTTCTTCCCTCAGTTAAATATGCTAATAATAGAACAGTTTTTCTCGTCTCTCAACTGAAAAAAGCAAATAATACATTCATCTTTTGTGCCAACCATCTATATTTCACAGATCTATTTAGACAATATAGATTTGGGGATTGATGCTAATATTTTTCTTCTCTGTTTTTTGGGGGGAGAGGGGGGAAACAGTGCAACTAAAGGTTTGAAAGTTGTATATCCTGGTGGTCTTAAAACTTTCTAGGCAATGTGAACAGACTTAAACAGAACTATTATTATTATTATTATGATTTAGATTGAGGCATACAGAGTTGGATATAGAATAGCATTTCAGGATGTTTCAGTAATCTCAGACTGATTTTGTTCTGGTAAAATGGATTTGGTTCTAATTAGTTGACATATTTTACTGTTCAAAGTAGAAACCTTTGAAGCAGCTATAATGGAAATTGGCCTTTAGCAAGTGAAACTGGACCTTGTTCCTACATGTGGAAAAAAGTTTTGCTACTTATCACTGGTAGCTTGAGTCCTCTGTCTTGTGTTCCTCTGAAAATCTGTTTGATTTTGATATGCTTATTCCCCTCCCTAGTACACTTCTGGCTAAAAAGTAATTTCCCTTAAAAACGGTTTCATCAGATTGCCATCAGAAATCATATGAAAGTAAATGAACAGAAGACATAAATACTGTATTTGGAAAAAGATTGCACAGACAAGGACACACTCAAGAAAGTCACTTTCAAGTTTCTGTTTCAGTTCATGTGCATAACACCACTTCCACAATACTGTGACTTCTTGTCTTTTGTACTGCAGAGAATTTTTTTTTCCCTTAAGTCAAAGCTATATTTACTATTTTTAACAATAGGGAAGTCTGAGTGTGCTCATCAGTAGAAGCTGAGTGGGACTATGAAAATTATTTGTATGGCCTCGTAGACTAAGTTGTGTTGAAACAGATGCTAAAATAAGAAGTCTTACAGTAGAGTTCTTTGAGGTAAAACTAGAAACATTACATGAGAGATTACAATGATCCCTCCATGGTCACTTTTCTTCTTGTTCAGGAGTTTACTGACCATTTTAAGTGAATAAAAAAAATGCTAGTATGTGCAACATCTGACGTCATTTTAAAATTCCCTGCTTCTGAAGCTACTGAGAATGCACCAAGAAGTTGAATTAGGCTGCATTTTGGTGCATATGTGTGCATTGGTATAGTGTGTGTATATTTATGTAATAAACACAAGCTTAGAAATGTGAACTACAATGTAGCTACAGCTGGATTTAAACTGATTTCCCAGTGCTAAGATGTAGACAAAGAAAAGGACAAGGAAATATGAAGAACATTGAAGACAAGGAGCTGACATTTTCAAGTTTTATCCTGAAATGACTCCTTTGAAACCTTAGATGTGAATAAACACCAATGCGTTCAATTAAACAAAGTCCTCCTCTATTTTTTGGTCTGTAAGCAAGATTGAAATACAGTATTAAAGATGCAAAGCTTTTCAGTATTTTGCCCACTAGTTGCAGGCACACATAGGCACTCTTAAATGTCATGCATTATGAGAAGATTGCACCAAGGAAGGGAGGAATAGACAAAACATACTACAAGAGCAAGTGTAGTTTTCTTGCCACAGTTGGAAACATAGTAATTGTATTTCATAAATGTATCCAGGTCTCTCTTCAAATGGCTAGATATTTGTTATCCTTTGTTTCCTGTTTGGAAAACTTTCCAGAACTGATTTTTTTCCCCAATTTCTAGTCATGATTTGTTAAGGTTCATGTACAACTTTGCACTGACACAGCTGAAAAGAAAGATGAAGAGAGGACCCAAGAAAGCCTGACCTGTATAAGTTTAGGGTTTAGACACATTAAGGTTTTAGGTTTTGCTTATTGTGTTGTCCTTGGTACTGTCAATGGGGTGTTTTCTTTGTTATCCTTTGTTTTGAATTTTTATGTGGACCAGCTGTCTGAAATGGGTTGGTGCTTGAGTTGTCACTGGTGTATTGGGACATTAGCTGCCATTTCTGTTGGACTCTAGTTATGCTGTGCCTTATGGGTTTTTCTTCTGCTGCCTTGTACTGGTGAAAGTAGAGGTTGGTTGAGAGACATTTCAAACCAAAATGATGACTTGATGACTTGAGTTGAGGAAGAGGATTTTCCTTACTGGGAGTTTATGCTTTCTGACTGAGGCAGTCTTGGATGGGAGGATTTTATGAATCCATAGATTTGTTTGGTCCCTCATCACTGTAGTAAAATTAATCCCATGCATTTATCCTTCCAACATTTCTCTTTCTTAAGAATTATCTCCCCCAAACTAAGGTGCAGAGATTTAATATTTTCTCAGCTGCACGCACAAATCTAAGACTTAGCTGAGAATTGAATTTGTAAGTTTTAAATCTCTGGCTGTCATCCTTCTCTTTGGACTGTTGCTCATATTGCTTGTAGTTGGAGACATTCCTTTCACTTGGACTTCAAGAGGGTCATTGCCCTTTGATGAAGTCATCAATTAAATGATTCCTCTGTAGTCAGCTGATTGGAGGGTGCTTTTCTGAGGTTATTTTTAGAAATCATTCAATGAGGGAATTCACTTCATGTACTCCCATCGAAACAGGTGACTAATCTAACCTTGGAGATCACGCTGATACAGACTTGTTGTAGTAGGTGGAAATCAAATTGCTGAAGAGGGTGAACAGATCTGGCATAGCTTTTACGGGCTTGCTTAGATTATTTTATTTTCCCCTTCCTCTGAACTTCAGAATTCCAGGTGAAAAGGCCTCTGCACTTCTGCTAATATATTTCAGGTGTGGACTATAAAGATGCTGGAGTTAAAACCTCCAATGGATACAGCAGTACCATGATGCTGTGACCACTAACCTTAAGGCATTGTCTAAACTGGTTGGTTTCCATGGAATGCTGTGAAGATTTTGTTCAGCTGTTTATGGTCTAAATAGATTCAGTTTAAGAACACTCTCAGAATCAGGGGGGTTAATATTTCTTTTTGCATTCACTATGTTAAAGTAATTGGATAGGCTCCTTGGGGCTGACTTTTCCACATTGTGTCTCTTACACAAAAGATTAACAATAAAACAATGGTAGGTCAGATGTGTAGCTGCTACAATTCATTGAAATGCTTTGAATGAAAACTGGAATTAATTTGGTAGATTTCTTTGCTTTATCATGTATCATGCTAAACAGCTCTTGGCATAATACAATTTGTAGTGTTCAGTATTGTTCTTCAGTGGGCTCTAAAGACACCACCATCTCTGAAACTTATTTTCTTCAAGCTTCACAACTTTTTTTTTTTTTTAATTAATTTGTATAACCATAATTCTGTTTCTCCCTTCTTGAACAATTCCACATTTTTGAATCATATTTCACTTCAGTAAGCAAAATGGTTGCCTGCTTTTATTTCTTTCTTTGAAACAAATTGATTATAAGTGCTTGAGCATTCTGGACAAGATTTAAACTTGAATTTTATATAGTGTTGGGGAAAACTTAGCCTAGTGTTAAGCTGTGTGAAAGCTATTTGAGAGATATGCAATTTATTTTGCTCAGCATAGCATTTAGAAAGTTCGTATAATTGAGAATGCAATTAACTAAATTATCCAGGAAAACTGAAATTAAATTCCATTTTCAGTATTCTGCCTAAGGAAGTGATATTGCTCGTTTTTTCTCCAATGTCAGAACATATGATGAGTGAAAACTGTTTTAAGCTTCTTTAATAATTTAGCATGGAAAAATGATACTGTGTAAATTGTTTCCTGCTGAGTTTACATGATGCTGGTCACCAGCCAAAGATGGAGGTGTTTTTCTGGGCAAGGGGACGGAATAGGTTGCATGGATGGGGGTGGAAGCAAATGGCAAGTAATTTATTAATTACAGAAATAAAGTTAACTATATAATAGTTGTAAGTACAGCAGGTTTCCAGGGCAGAAATTTGCCAAAGGGCAACCCACTATTACATTTTTCTCTATTTTTCAGGCTCTGGATGTCGACCGAACTGTTCTCTATAAAATGAAAAAATCTGTCAAAGCCATAAACTTATCTGGTCTGGGTAAGTACTTAATTCCTATTAGTTTATATTGGTGAAATTTTAAGATTTAAGCAGTCAGATGTCATACTGAATCAGAAAGAGTTGTATGGGTAACTCTGAGAAGAGAAATATGTAAATTTTACATGGCAATCTTGAACTAGCTCTTTGATCATGACCTCAGTAAGGATGAGATGTTGTGGGGTAGCTTAACCTCTCTTACTGCCATACTGGTACCAAGTGGTGAAGCTGTGCTCTCCTCTTTCCACCGGGTGTGGGCTACTGGCTCCTTCTCTCACACCTGCTGCTTTGCAGATCCCTAGATGAGTTTTTAAGCTTGTATAAAGCTGCATATGCAGTGAGATGAACTTAATTGGCATTAGATGGGTGCCTGAAGTGGTAGGGCCATGTGTAGCACCAAGAGATGAGGGTGTGGGGGGGTGAAATTACTCTTTGGCAGAAACAAGAAGCTACATTGGCTCTACTGCTGTGAAACCTCAGTCTCCCTGGTGGCTTCCACTTATGTATGCTGAGAACTTCATGACAAGAGGGAGATGATGAGCTGCAATTTTTTATTGCCATGATGTAAAAAATCAGATAATTTTCTTACAATGCTGTATAAAATACAAAGAACTATTGCTGCATGCATTTTTTAATGTGTGCAAATCTCTTAGAGTTATGTACATTTATCTCCTTTGAAAAGAATAACTGAAACTTTTTTTTTTTGTGGATCAGCAGTGTTTTTTGGTTGGCTTTTGTTCTCACTGTGCAGTTCATAGCAATTAGAGCTAACAAAACCTATATTAAATGCAAATAGATAGGCTTGTCAACCTTGGAGAGCCACCAATATCGGACAGACCTTGTGGCCATGTTGGTGTTCAGACAAGGTTTGAACAAGGACTACTGTTGTGGTATAATTCATCTCAGCTAATTGAAAGGCAGCTCCTCGTCAAATGTAATAAAGCTGTTATCTTTGGATTGTGGAGGGTCCAGTTTAAGATTCATTAGGAACTGTTTCATTGATTTGGCATCCTTTCTTCTCTTTCTTGCTTGGCTGGGGTTTTTTCGGCTGTTGATTAAAAAAAAAAGTTATTCTAGTGTGCTAGACTATGCCTCATAATTAGAGTACCTGTTAGCAAATCACTATTCTTTGCATAAAACCGGTACCTTGCCCACATTTTAAATTTGTGCTGCCCACTCAATCTTGACAAGAAAAGTTTGGAGGCATTTATCTTCCACCAGCAGAAACATCACTAATCGAGCCACTTGTCAGCCTCTGGGGCTCCTTTTGACAAAACAAACCCCATGGTCCTACATTCATAAGAGCACAGTGACTGGATTTTTAGTATAAATTCCCTAAATAGTTAATATACATGTTTTGTCTTTCTTTTTTAATGTGAGAGTTTACATAGTTAAGGATTACATAGTGACTCCCAATTTGTATCTAGCTTGGGTTCTTACCTAAAGAAAGCCTCTAAACCCTCAAAACTGGATCAAGTTTCTTTTTTTGGTGTGTTTCATACCTCTTGTTTGTAGAGAAACTTTTAAAATTTGTCAGGAAAGCACCATAGGACAGAAAGGGTATTTTGGAGGGTTCCATGGGAAAAGTAGATTTTTGTGTTCTTCAGAAGCACTTGGGGAGTACCAGCTCAGTTAATAGTGCTGCTGCAATAAACTACCATCAGCATTCTGGGAGTGTCTCAGAATCCAGAAGAATGGTCCTTAGGATGCTGGGGAATAGAAGACTCCCGGGGATGCCATGTGGAATGGATGCTGTGCTTGTTTCCCAAGGTAAAAAGTCAGCATGACTCAGCTACTGGTTGCACATCTAACCATAACACTTAATGGTAGCAGCCTTTTCACCTTGCTTTCATGCAGGAGGCAGCTTTCTCTTTCTGCTGTAGGACTTGTGGCCTGACCTCTTCTCTCACCTGAGTTCACATAAGCTAAGTTGGATGCAGGAAGCATCAAGAATGCAGAAAGCAGTGTGGTGGAAATAATTCACCTTACTGGGTAGATGTGAGATCCAAGGGAGCTGTGACATGCCACATCCTCGTTTTTGCTGCCTGTGCTAGTTCATTGAAAGCTTGCTCAGGTGTATATATGTCACACAATAGAATTAGTTGAATGCTCTTGCTTCATTCTACAGCAAAAATATTGGTAAGTGCTCAGCCCTTGCTGTTGATGCTGAGGAAAATAAGTAACTTTCAGTGCTAGTATTCAGTTTTTAAATTTAATAGCTATCTGCAAACTATCTGTCACAGGCTGGAATTTCAAGTGCTCAAGTTAAAGACTTGTAGAATTAATGCTGCTTGTGTAATTTCCATTCTGCATGTATGTTATGTGAGTCTTTAATTACATGGTGCTATACCACCGCTGCACAGGGTTTTAGTTTCATATATTGGAAATTATAGAAAATTTGTAGCTACTTGTGAAACAAAATTCTTGAATGGCTATCCAGATAGGACACATGAACAGATAGATTTGTTTTTAGTCTGGAGCATGATAAGTTTATTGAACAGGTTGTATAACTAAATCACAGAAATTTGGGAAAGGATGTAGTATCCAAAATCCTTTGGATATTAAATGTATTTGTGTGTACAAATAGGCTTGAAAGGAATCTGCATCATTGCTTGTTTAAACAGATTAATCTTCTCTAAATAATCTTCAGGATTTATGCTAGTCTCATGTAATGACCAAGACAGTCTTTGTCCTTATTAATACATAATTTATTTTCTAGGGTGTGGAGTTTTTTTCCTGACTTCCTTTGAAGCTCTAGAAATCGTCTACAACTAGAATAAGAAATAGGCAACATTAACTTTCTCAGGTGCCAATTTGGTGTGCTTTGTCCACATGCTCAAGCTTGGCATGGCCACTGAACTTGGGTTCAGAAAAACTTTCTGTTTTATTCCACAGGTCAAACTGACTTTTGACAAAAGGACTTTTTATGCCTGTCTATATAGGCAAGTAACCTGGTGACCTAGGAGCAAATCACTTGGGCAAAATAGTTAAGATTGAAGCCTCTCAGGTTTCCTTTATATTTGAATCAGGGGAATTTATTTTATGCCTAGATTTCCTCTCCTGCCCTTGGCTGAATAATCCCCCAATATGTGCAACTCAAAGCTTTCTGAACGTTGATGATAGGTGTATGCTGGATGAGTTGTCCTGGTGTAGAGCTTCTGGGTTTGTTGTCTCAGAAAGGAATCTGGTTGTCATGAACCAGAACTGCTTTTGGAACTGAACTTGCCTGTGGTAAATGCAGATTGCTAGGATTTGCTTCAGATCCCCACTGCTGCCCTGAATCAGAAAACTAACATGGATAGGGTGTCCTCCTCTGTAATGTGGGTTATAGTCCTTTTTCCTAGGATGACCCAAGCATATTTGATCTATTGCCTTCTGTTGTAGAGGTCCAATACTCTGCCAGCACACTGGCTCCTCTGTTTCTTTTTCAGCACACAGTAAAACATAACAGCACACAGTTAAAATAAGAAAGTGTTAATGAAAGACTCTAAAATCTGAAAGTTCATTATAGGAGTTGGGAGTTGTTATGAGGTCTCTGCTATGGTGCAGAAATATTATAGGTCTTTCTAGAGTGTCAGACATTTGTCTTGTCTTGGCACATTGTCACTTGTCCAGCATGTGGCTATCCACATAGGTACATGCAAACCAGAGTTATTGAGATATGTCATACTTCTGACATATCAGTGTTAAACTGTAAATAATGACTGTTTTTTGTACCAAGTAAACATTTTTAGCAATAACTCTGGAAAGTTTTTTTTTTTTTAAAAAAACCCCATCGATTGTGATTTCAATAACCTTTTATCTACTGATGTTATCTTCATGTTTTGCTTTTTTTGAAGCTCACGTGGAAAATGAAGAACAGTATACACAAGCACTGGAGAAGTTTGGTGGCAACTGTGTTTGCAGGGATGACCCAGATTTGGGAACAGCGTTTTTAAAATTTTCTGTGTTTACAAAGGAATTAACTGCACTCTTCAAAAATTTGGTAAGAATTACTTAAGAAAAATGTGTTGGAATTTTAAAGACAAAGGCTGTATTTTGCAATTATAACAGCTTGAAGAAGACAATTTGTGTTTTAGCAATCACCGTTCTTTAAAAATTCTCAGCTTATGAAAATATCTCATGTCCTACGCTTTCCCCTTACAGAAGTCAAAACTCAACCCAAACAAAATAAACCACCATAGAACAAAAACACAACAAACCCCCCCTCTTCCGACACTTCTCACACCTAAAAGCTTTCCACAATAGTTATAACATGCATTATAAAACACACATCTCAATTTGCTTTAAATTGTGAAACCAGCCAAACTTGATTTACTGTGTGATCACAATGTTTTGCTTTACTTTTTCCCACTTTCCATTTATATTTGTAAAGGGAGATTTTAGTGGCCCTTGGAAGAGGGCGTTTTTGCTTCTCAGGGAAGTGAGTCAGGGAAACAAAATCAAGCAAAATGCTAAAACAACAGTAGCATCCATTGGGGACCAATGCTACAGCTGAAGCCAGTAAGTCTTAAAAGCCTCTTTTGGTGAGCCAAATGGGATGGAGCCAAATGGAAGAACGGGATTTTTAATTATAAATGGAGAATTTTCTGCCTCAATTTCACATTAATCAGAGGGTGCAAAAAGGGCAGATTCTGATTACATCCTACAAGCTAGAGCTTTCCCATTTCTTAAGTACCAAATTTACTTGAATTCACAGAGCTCTTATACCAGGGGCTAGGAAGGGGAAATGACCCAGATTCCCAGGAGCATTTAAAAGATCTGTGTCTGCTGAAATCAATGGCATGAAGACACATCAAATGCTTTTGTGAGTCTAGACCAAATGTCTGTAGTTTGCAGCCAGCTGGTCATAATCACTTCTTTGGGGAATGTTTCCAGCTGATGGGATTTAGGGCAGTTCCATTCACTCTCTGATGCTGTCCTCTCTTTTTACCTAATCATGATATTGATGAATACAGCCACAAATGTATTTATCAACAATGAAATGTATTTCATATTGGTTATATTGATTTGAACTTCTCTGGATGTACAAATACCATCTGAGATTGTGTATCAGTTATCCCAAGCCTCTTATACATAGGCAGGCAGCTCCTATGGAAAGGAAAATGGAATGAGTCTTCTAATTGATACTTTCTGTTGACTAAAACCCCCTCTCTGTCATCTATTAATTGCAGTATGATGAATTCATTAGGCAAATGGATCTGGGAAATGTGATGTTTAGGTGATTCTAAAAAGCAATCTGCTAAAAGCTACACCCGCTCCCCAGAAAAATCTCTTAATGAATTGCATTTCAAGAATACTTCTAAAAGCTTGAAGGTGTTGCTTTTTTACCAAAAATCTTAAGCTATTTGTTCTCTTAAAACCAGAAACTTATCTTTGTAAAATGTTTCTGACAAGAATAACTGTCCTTCCACACTTTGGAAAGGAAAAACACCAGAATAAGTATCTATGGGAAGTTGGAATGCATGTTTTTGTTACCTGTTATCTACCTAAGTGTTTTGTGTCTTCTCCAAGGAATATTTGTACTTTTGTACTTCTGTGGTTTTTTTTTTAGTAGCATCAATGTTCTTTTGCTTCAATTCAGGTGTATAAGAAGGGGATATGTCATAAGAGAGTAGCTAAGTCTGTAGCTTTTCTCAATTTGTGGTTCTTATTTTCTCTATTTTTGAAGGAAAGAGTAATTTTGCACAGGCATGAATGTAATTTTTTTAAAATAATGCAATAACATAGGCACCTTGTCTCTTTAACACTGTCTGGTGAGGAGTAGATCTCTGTAAAGTTCTGCTCCTTCCTATTATGCCTCATATTATTGAGGTTTGAAGCTTTTTGTTTTTTCCTGACTAGCAAAGGAAACCTAATGGTCCTTAAATTTGATGTCTCAATAGGAAAATAGTTTTCACCAGAAAGAAATACATATGGAAAAAAAGATATGAACTTCATTACTCATATTTATCACTCATATTCATATTAAAAAGAAATGTAGAATAATGAAAAAATATAGCTGTGTATAGCTTTGCCTATTATAAGTTAATGCCACTAGAATAAATTTTTAGTAACTGGAATAAATTTTTAGTAACTTTGAAAATCTGTTCATAAATTCAGTGTTTTGAGGTCTAGTTTTCCGAAAGGTTAAAGGATATTGACCGTATAAAAAGTTCTGTACAGTAATTGGAAATAATTTGGGTGTATTTTGTTAAAGTCATAGCCATATGTGCATTCTCACAATGAGGTGATGTATCCAACTCTGAATGCTTTCAACATACTTACCTTAAAAATATGCCTCTCCTCTGGTGTTTCCTTGTAGCACTCCACATGTTTTGTTTGTAAATTTTTTCATCCAAAGTGTAGCCAGGGCCATGCAACCTGCTACTGTTGAAAAAACATTCTGAAAGGTACTCTTTAGATAGACCTATCCCTGGAGTTTCACAAGATGCTGAATTTCCACAGATTTTAACTGAAGTGGATGGGGAATGTGCAGGGAGGTGAGAGGACATGTTCAGACTGGAACAGATGCCAAAGCTATTAACACTGGCAAAGCTTTAGGGCTACTGTCAAGTTTTGCTTTGTCATGTATTTTACTTTGTTTCTAGAAGCTGATGTGTTCTGGCAGCTCTTGGCCTGGATGTCATTTAGAGCTGTAGCTCTGAAGTGCTTCTGCACAAAGATTTTCTTTAAACTTGTCCTTTGTAAGGTAGAGGAAAGCCATTATAAGGTTGTTCTTCTTTAATTGGAGTTTCAGGTGCTTGTTTTCCCTAATTATTTTTAAAGTTTCCCAAAAGTCTTTGAAGTTTTTATGGCCTTATTAAGGCATCGGTGTTTTAAAGTATTTCAATTACTGAAGTATTTTTGGTTTTAATCCTAAAACCTGTGTACTATTCAAGTTAAAGTTTAGATCTTGAGGTTTTTTATAAATTTGCTATGCTGCTTTTATGTGTGCACTTTCAAATAGTGCATAAAATTAAATAGAAAACCCCACCCCAACCTTTGTAGTTTTTCTTCACTTTTGAAGTGATTATAAATGCATCTTCAATAAATGAATTTATATTTACTGTGTACGAGATTCTTGTAACCACTCATTTTAGCCGTTTACCCCAGTTTGCACTGTTTGGATTGCTTGGTGATATAAACTGTGCAATTATTTTCTCTTGCCAAAGCTCTGATATCAACTTATAAATTTTCTTCAACTTCTGTGTTTTAAGAAGATTGAGCAATCAGCTTGTCTTTTTGGAAGTGAAAGGCCTGAAAATACTAGCGGCCATTTTCAGAGGTAACACTACATTTTGTGGCAAGCATAATATTGCCTGTTGTTGCCAACCTTGTTACCAATCCTAATAGACTTGGACCACCCACTAGAGTAGGAGGAGTTCCCAGGTAGGTGAGGTCTGTGTGGCACTTACTTGTAGTGTTAATTACTCTGTCTTTTTAAGTATTGTGCCAAGGGATAAAGGTGTGAGTCTTAATATGAAAAATGTTAGGGCAAGGAAAGGTTCATTACAATATGTTTGCACTTCAGATATTTTAATAGGATTTTAAATCCTATTAAATTGCTACACTGAGAAGAAATAAACTCTAGTTTTGTATCTCTGCTAACACTCCTTGAAAAGGGGTTTGATCTGTGAAGATGAAGTAGCTATTTAACAAATACCATTTTCTGTATTTGTTGTTGTTATACTTAGTCTTTTCCTTTCTTTTTCATTTATATAAATGTAAAGCTAATGAAACAGGCTGGGTTGAGAGGAGTGGATCTGATATTTCCACTCTGTGGAAGATAGCTGGGAGTAAGAGATTCTGTTTTCTATTAATAATCCTTGGACTTTTAGTTAGAAAAAATGGAAGAACAGCAGTGATATTTTTCTGACCATATGCTCTTTCTTTACTTACTTTTTTAAATTGAAGAAGAAATAAAATTTACTTAATTGTAAAAGGTAACAGCAAAACTCAAGGAATTATCTTTTCTGTATTATATAATGAACTTGAAAAATTTATGCCCAGAATTTTCTTTGTTTAGATCAGGGTTTTAAAAAACAATGTTTAATGCCTGAACCTTCACAAACATATTTTTGTTTAGAAAGACTCACTGAAAAAACTCTACAGGTATATATGTTTGAGATTGGAGTATTATATATATCCATATTGTATATGGAGCTTAATGATTTAAGTTGTGAGCTTTCTGTTTTTCACCAGTACACTTGGGGAAAACTTGGCTAACAGTGAGAGTTAAAAAATAAAGAGTACTGTTTGATTTGTGCTTGCTGAGATATAAACCAAGATGTAATAATTCCTCCTTGGCAGCATGTGTTCAGCTCCACCTGGAATCAAATCTTTTTTTTTTTTTTTTGCCAAAGAGTATTGATCCAACTGGAGGAAATTCAGAGGACAGTAATAAAACATGATTAAGACTTCAATAGATAGGTTTATAAAGAAAGTTTAGAAGAATTTTAAATTTATGGTTTGCTTCACAGATAACTGATTGTGGAGGAGGAAAATAATAAATTGCTATAAATGGGATCTCACTCTGAAAATATTAGGTGAAGTGTCCCAGAGAAAGTGATAGAAACTTAGATCTTTCAACCTAGATTAGAAAATATGCACCCTGGAATTCACTGGCATGGAAGAAGAGCTAGAATAACCACAAGTCTCTTCCTTCCTTTGCTTTTGCAGCTCTTCATTTTATGCTTTTCAGATTTCTCATTAAATACTTCCTAATAGAGAAGTTCCCAGTTTGTAGTTTGCATATTGGTGCTAATAATGGGGCTGATTCTAAGAAGTCCATGGTGCCAAGACTTGGTATTTTATGTGAAGGCATTTTTCTAGACAGCTGTGCCAGCAGTTCCATATGCACACTTAGTGGTGCTCAGCTCCTGTACTGCTGAAGTCATTTTCCCTGTGGCATAATTGGTGGTGGGTGATGTCCCAGCTCAGTCATACCTGTGCTGCAGGGGAGAGGGGGGAGGACAGAGGAAGGGCAGCATTGTGTTCTTGTGTGCAAGGGGAAGGCACAGTGCAAAGATGAAACTTTGTGCTGCCAGTCTTTGTTACATATTTTTCTGAAGTCTTGAGGGTAAATGCTAAATCTTAAAGTTCAGACAAATATGTCTCATCTGTGGTGGATGTTCTGATTTCCACTTTCTCCCTGCTGTGTTGATTGGCCTTGTCCTACTAGCGCTCATGTCACTAGAAAAATGGTTAGAAACTGTTAAATCCAATAGCACTTGCCATAAAAAAAAAGAAAATAACTTAAACAGTGATTTATCAGCAGGAAGTACTGCCATCACCTGCACACACTCAAGCTCATTGATGGTTGAGAAGCCCACAGCCAAGTACAGTGTCTGCATCTAAAATGTAGTAATGGCAATAGGGGACATATACTGCTCAACTGCTTGAATTTTAGTTTAAACTGAAAAAGTTTTAAGTTCTGTTAAGAGAAGTATTTAACTTCTGAAGTATACTGAAAAGGGTTTTTTTCCTTTTTGCTTGGATTTAGCAAACAAATCCTACAGCAGTACTGTGGGCACCAGTATCCAAAGCTCTTATGGAAAAGAGCTTTACTTTAAAGTAATCAGGAGGGCTGGCAAACAGCAAATTTAAATGTTTAGCCATAGGCCCTTAAACCACTTGAACATCTTTCCCCTTTACAAATGCTGCCTTGCTTGTTGCCTCTACCAGCACTTCTGGCAGCTATGTGTTTTGTTTATATGTTCTCTCCCCTGCCATTTCTTCTTCTCTGAGCCTTCTCCAACTTAGGAAGTTTTAATTTTTTACCCTGTCATCTTGTTGGAAACTGTCAGAGGAAAACTGCAAGTGCCAAAGCAGCAATGTTGGAAGTGGAAATGAGGTCAACTATTTTTTTCCTTTCTTTTTTTTAAACATGTGGAATTTGCTAATGTTTCTCTGAGATGGCATGATTTCAATTTCTGTGAAGTTTTCTTGCACCTTTGTATATTTTTTAGAAGTGTTTTTTAAAACATAAAGTAGTCAAAATGTAGAGGCCATTGCATATGTTCTAGCTCCTGGTACTCTGTACACAGAGTAGGAGCTGCAGCATATCAGTGCTTCTCTGTGTGCCAAAAGTGGGTCTGTATTTTTAGATAGTTCAGCTTATGCTTCTCAAGAAAGAGGGGAAAAACATGTAAGATCTTTCATCTGTGTATTGCTTGCTGACTTATAAATATGAGGGAGTATGATTCATCTAACTAGGTTAATAATGACAAGTTCATGCATTATGTATGCTTACTTTTGTTACAAATAGAATAGGAGCATAGGGAATACAATAGACTGATAGTAATGTACAGGTGATAGCACACAGAAGGAATTAATTTGAATGGGCAAATATTCTGTAAACTTTTTTAAAGAATTTAGAGTTTTTCCTTTTTTTTTTTTTTTTTTTTTTGGTGGGGGGCAGGGGAGGGGATTGGTGGTTTTTGTTTTTTTTTCTTTAGGTTGCTTTGGACTCCAGGCCTAATGGTGTGAAATTCTAGCAAATATCTATCACTATTTTGGAGTCTGATTGATGTTTACACATGAGTGTGTTTGGGATAATACTTCAGATTTTTTTTTTTTAATGACTTAAAGAAAAATCAGTTGTCTTTAGTCTGCTGTTGAGAAATGCTTTGTTCTTTATTCCTGTCTACTGAATTTGAAGAATAATTAAATGAAGACTATGAAAGTATTGATCCTTAAGTTAGACATTTGACTACATCATACTCATAAAATAGAATAACAAACTAGAAAACTTCGCATGGGATGGTATCTTGAAAGAGACCTCTTCTGTTTTCCACCTGAATAATTGTTCTGGATGTGCACTTGCAGCTTCTAGAAGTTTTGGGGTTTTTTTACATAGGTGTTGTGCAGTTTAAACCTTTACACTTACATCCTGTATCTCTGACATAAAATTGCATTACCTTTGGGGATGGTTGTGTTGATATGTGCATGTGGTAGGACTGCTGAGGACTTAGGAGGTGGATGGTCTCCAGCGCTGCCAACTAAGCATGTGTACATGTTGCTTACTCAATTTTTACAGAAAGTACTTTAAAAAACCAGCCCTAACACAGAGCTGAAATTTAACTTGTTGATTCTAAAGGGCCATGGTTGGGTCCTGCAGCTTGTTGAGGAGGAGAAAAAGTAGGGTGGAGGAGAGGAAATGTGATTTATATTAAGAGTTCGAAAGACCAGATTTTCTATATTGCTTTAGCTTTCCCATGCAGAGACAATCTGTGTAGTCTTTAAAACTGGTGAAGATCTTTGACTGGTGGCTGAAATTTCAAGCAAATGCAGTAAGGTAGTTTCTTTGAGGAGGAAAGGTAGGGACAGCTGGGCTTTGCTTGTTTGTTTTCACAACAGCTGTTCCATATGACAGTCTGTTCTAGTGAGGCCACCAAGTAACTACAGGGTGATAATATTTTGTATTTTACAATTCCGGAGAGACTGAAGCATCCATAATTGGAAATATTTTTTAATTAAAATTTAGTATTCTTTCATCTCTGGATGGGTTATGCTAAAGGGGGCCTTGATGTCCCTGACATTATTCCTGAAGAAATAAAAGCATTTGTTCCTACATGATGCAAAATTTTTTCTGTAATTTGAACATTTGAAATCCATCTTCATATAGGGATTTCAGAGCTTCTTGAAAAAAATCACATTTTGAAAGAACAGCATAAAAAAGAGTAACTTATCCAAGGGCAACTTTCACTGAACTGCTGCAAAAGTTATTCTGGTTTTTTTTCTCACCATGTTATTCTAAAGTATTTTGAGTTTTGTTCCTCAGAGCAACCAATTCTTCTGAATAGTTACAGTTTAAATTCTCTGCCTAGACATTGTGGTCCATACCTTGAATGTTTTCCCTGAATCATAAAGGAGTTGATATACAATCTTTTCCTAGCTACCTTAGTCCTACAATCTTTCTTTGTTCTTTTTACTTATTAAAATATTAGCATACAGATCCTTAACAAAAAACATTATTATTTTGCCACTTTCTTAATTCAAAATAATTTTTAACTTCTTGAAGTACTTATTTTCTCTTGAGTTCCTTGCATACTAGAAACGTCCTAAAATTCTTATTTTAAAGTTTGCATGAGATAAATAAAGCAGATGTATTGCTTTTAAAAAACAAATGGAAAATATTGGAATGGTGGCTCTTTTACAGGCCAGCATTCTTTGTCTTTATAACTTCTGTCAGAGTAAGATACCATGTATTGGAAGAGTTGCAGATATGCTTTATGGAATAGGTCTGAAGAGGCTGGAAAGTAAACAAGGTTAATATAAAATATGCACATGAACTCAGAACTATCAGTACTAAAAAACTGTATTATTGTTTTCATATAATTTAAATAGGAAATACAGCAATGTAAAAATTAGTGGTCTTATTTTGCAGACACTGTTGGATGAGATATAATCAGCAGTAATTCTGGAGATTTCCTGCTGGCTTGGGTTATGGTGTTTCCAGAGTGAGTTTAATTAACTCGTATTGCTTTCATCTTTGATTACTGGCTGTGCTGATAAACATCTCCATCAGGCAGGGACAGGAAAACAATATGTGAGATTTCCTTGTGAAACTTTCTGAAATGTGTGTATTAAGACAGTTTGTGTTCTCTGCCTAAATGTATTAACTGATTTGGTGTAATTTTCTTGTTACAGATTCAGAATATGAACAACATAATCACTTTTCCATTGGACAGTTTGCTGAAGGGAGACCTGAAAGGAGTAAAAGGGGTATGCATTTCCTCCTGTTTATATATAGGATTGCTGTTGGTACAGTAGGTACTTTTAGCAAGTATATTAATCTTACGTGCTGGGAGGTGTAGGATATTCAAGTATTGTATTAACTCAGTAAACAAGACTTTGGGGGCTTTGTTTGTTTTGGGGTTTTTTTTGTGAATCAAGTCATCCCTTCTGTTTGTGGATTCACATACCTCATGTTCTTGACTGTGTATACAAAACAACATTTGAGAAGCTTTAAAAGCAAGCCTGAGATACACCTTTTTCTCTGCTTATCTTCTGTAAGATTTAGATATTTACTTAATTGAGTAAAGGGTAGTACTATATTTTAAAGGATTATTAGCATTCTAGCATTTAGCATTCTAAACTTACCTTACTTAAGAAGCTACTTAAGTTACTTAAGAAACACCCATTAGACTGTATGAGAATAGGATTTTTTCTTAAAGAAGCTGAAATCTATTTGTTTATTCCTCAAGGACATTTCCTATTTGAAATAACAGCAACTTAGGACTCAAATAATGATATGTTTATGATAAATTTCAGAGTCTATGGCGAGCAAACTTACTTGGCTTATGCTTTGTTTACTAGTGAGCAAACAGGAAGTGACTGGCAGCTATTGTTCTAGGACATCGAAGGAAGGAGAAATGTACATAGACTAAAAATGATTTCTGTAAATTACTGGAGGATAAATAGATTATTTAGTAAGATAGACTTATTATCTTTATAAGTTGTTTGCTTACCACATTTCACTCGTGTTCTTCTCTGTGTCAGAATAAATGCATTTATTACAATAGTTTGCCCTCTGCCTTGAGAATATAATCAAATGCTACTTCAGTTAATTTAATAATTGTCTCAATAACTAACTAACATGTCAGAATTAGTTCCTAATCTGTAGTTGCAAAGTTTTTCCAGTGTCTGACAGTTAACATTTTTTTGTAGTTATCTGTTCTCTTGAACTTCATCAAAATTTCGGCTCTTGCAGTCTTAGACATCAATGAAATAAGTTTGCAAGTTGTTAAGATTATTTTATCCAAATTACCTTATTTAGAGGAAAGAAGATAAAGGAATTTGGAATATAACTAATTCAGAATTCTCACAAAATTAGTTATGCCAAGCCATAAGGTTTATACTGTTCCCATTAAGTCAGTGGAAAATTGATTTTTTTAAACTTTAGTGTGATGAATCAAGTTCTTAGCCAAGCTATACTGCAGCCTCAGGACAGGGACTTCTCTCCAGTAGAACCAGAGACAGAATGTTGAGAAAGTAGTTACTTTGATTAATTGCGTAGTGTGGTCTTGGGATAACATGTTATTATACCTTTTAAGGAGTAAAAAGGAGCTGTAAAAATCATAGTAAAAAGCATCCTAGAGATGCTTTTAAAAACATGAGTATATTAATTCTCTTTATGAGATTGGTTTTTCTATGTGCAAGATTGCTTTTGCAGAACCCTTAGGTTCAAGAAAAAGTGAAGTTCCTAATTCTAGTAGGCAATGCAAGCGGCCAAGGTGTGTCTTCATTGTTAGAGCCGCAGTATTTTTTATGTAAAAAGCTGGCTGTTATTTTTTCTCTTTTCTTGACAGGACCTGAAAAAACCCTTTGATAAAGCTTGGAAGGACTATGAAACAAAAGTGTATGTATCTTTTAAACTTTTATTTAAGCAGGAAATGTATCTGAAATCTGTAGAGATTATTACTTAATGCTGAGGCTGAATGCTCTCAGCAGGTGCAGGATGTACTAGAAGTGGATGTACACCTATCTGAGGCTTGTAAATTGTGTCTTATGTTGTGGATCCAACCCAGCTTAGCATAAGCCACTTGTTTGTAGTTACCAGATACACTGTATAAACAGCTGTAAAATAAGTTTATAAAAAATGGAATTTTATATCTAGCTAAATAAATGTAATGAGTCAACAAAGCTCAACACCTAATATCAAACGCAATTTATTCTGGTTCCTAGTAAATCTTAAGTGGTTCAGTGCCCTACATCAGGGGCAGTTGTTTCCAGGGTTTGCCAGGTCAATTGTATCAGTACAGCTGGCAGTCTCTGAAGTAGAATATTGTAGTGAATTTTATTCCGTATTACAGTATTACCTGGATTATAACTATCAGTTTTGTGTCACATGTTCAGTATCTTTATTCTTCTTAAATAATGCTGCCTTGTATTAGACCATCTCTGATGATACGGGTCCAGAAAAATCACGTATGATGACACTATTTAACATAAATAAATTGCAGATCCACAGTCAACTAGACTGGCTGAAAATCTAGCACCATTTATGTGTTTTTTAATTGCACAAAGTTATAATGATTCTCTGGTGCCCACTTAGTCTGTCTCAAGTCTTCAGAAATTATTCCTGTAGCTGAATTACCCATAAAAGCAACCAGTTAGCTAAATTTCATTATTCCTTTTGTGAATAACACTGAGAATGGTCTAGTTATTGCTTTCTAGCATCAAATTGTGAGGAAGACCTGTGTGGCTTTTGGTTTTTGAAATTGCCTAGCTATAGCTGGATTTTCATAAAAAGACATTCTGAAATACTGAGATAAACCTCTGGTCTGACACTCTAAATCCACACAAGATTGTGATGGCCCCAGTGTTTCATGTTCCTGACACCAGTGAGCATTCTCATTTGGTGCCATACCAATAACTATTGAAGTCAATAACTATTGAAGTAATTAAGATTTCTAATCATTGCCTATGGCAGTAGTTGATCTCTGAGAACAGGCCTTAAAGAATAGTCCTATAATTTAGTCTGCTGTTGTCTAGCACTTCTTGATTGCTGGATCTGAAAGCTTGTTTACTTGTGTGTGACTATTCATATTGACATCCCACAAAGTTTATGTGCAGAATTTAAAATAAATATGTGCACTGCTGGGACATATAGCAAGAGCAATGTTACTACTGGACCAAGACCTCTATTGATTTTAGGATTTCTGATCTAATACTCACTAGGATGAGTGTGTTGAAGTGATGTAAAGATTTGTACTTGATCATCAATTTGCTCAGAGCTGGCATTTCAGAGTCAGATATACCAGAAATATTATCAGTTGTTATTTAATTGAATTGAGTACTTGAGAATGTATAGAAAATGTATTTGTATATTTGGGAATTTTCATTTGAGGTTATGGACATGTTGAAAATGTTGTTTTGTGTGCTATGTCATTCAGGACCTGAAATGATACTGACAATGTGTTTTCTGTCTGTGGGATTGAATCCACTGCTGCTTGTATGATTAGATTTTTTTCTTTTTCTTTCAACTGGCAATCCTTTAGAAAACCTGTTTTATGTCTTTGCTTTTAAGTAAGACACTTGGGTTTTGATTTGAAACGGGTTTCCTTTTTCCACCTGCAGTTATCTACTTTGTGCAAGATTTTGTAACAAATGAAGCAGGCCTCCTTGACAATGCTCATTTCTAAGCCATTTTTGTGTCAGATTATTCAACATGCAAAATTTGAAGGTAGTACATATTCATCAGGAAGTTCTTTCAGATCCATGAACCATTTTTTTGACATTTCTAAGTGGTGGGCTGGTACAATTACTGGTGCTCTATTTTTTTGAAGTGGTCAGATGAAAGGTCCACATCAATATTTTGAAGCTTTAAGCTCTTAGTCCAGCCTGTTGGACTCCTTGACTTTGATCAAGACCAAAAGATCATCCGCTTGAGGCTCAGGATAGGGAGCCTGGGAATTCTGTGTACAAGAAAATTATTTAAAGCAATGGGCTGCTCCTTTTCTGCCTTGCTAGTAGGCTGTTCTACAACAGCAGAAATTACTTTTCCTGGCATAAGGTTGGCAGTCAGGGACTATTGTTTTTCGGTGCAAACTGTGCCAAGGAGCAGACAAGTTTTCCATGTTTTGTTGAGTTAAATTGAGTCTCAGAACTTCTGTGAGACTCTTGCCCCTGCAGTAGGACTATGGGATTTGTCAGACCCCTGGTGTGTAAGATCAGTTCCCAGCTAAATTGAGATGTTATGAGCTGCCATTAGGGAGCATTTGTCTTTAAGAAAACAGAGATGAGAACTTTAATGATGTGATCCAGCCAGAAGTTTAATTATGTGATCAGACCTAGCCAGCATGGGTTTAGGAAGGGTAGGTTGTGTTTGACCAACCTGGTCTCGTTTTATGACCAGGTGACCCACCTGGTGGATGTGGGAAAGGTAGTGGATGTTGTCTATCTGAACTTCAGCAAGGCCTTTGACGCTGTCTGCCACAGCACACTCTTGGAAAAGCTGGCAGCCCACAGCTTGGACAGGAACACTCCTTGCTGGGTTAAGAACTGGCTGGATGGCCAGGCCCAGACCCAGAGAGTGGTGGTGAACAGTACTGCATCCAGCTGGGGATCAGTCACCAGTGGTGTTCCTCAGGGGTCTGTGCTGGGACCAGTTCTGTTCAATATTGTTATTGATAACATGGATGAGAGTATTGAGTATTAGTAAATTTGCAGACAACACTAAGCTGAGAGGGTGTGTCGGTCTGTTGGAAGGTAGGAGGGCTCTGCAGAGAGACCTGGAATGGTTGGAAGGATGGGCAGAGTCCAATAAGATGACGTTTAATAAGTCCAAGAGCCAAGTCCTGCATTTTGGCCACAATAACCCCCTGCAACGTTACAGGCTGGGGTCGATGTGCCCAGGCAGAAAGGGACCTGGGGTACTGGTTGACAGCCGGCTGAACATGAGCCAGCAGTGTGCCCTGGTGGCCAAGGCCAACGGCATCCTGGCCTGTATCAGGAATGGTGTGGCCAGCAGGAGCAGGGAGGTCATTCTTTCCCTGTACTTGGCACTGGTGAGGCCACACCTTGAGTCCTGTGTCCAGTTCTGGGCCTCTCAGTTTGGGACTTTGAGACGCTTGAGCACGTCCAGAGGAGGCAACAAGGCTGGTGAGGGGCTTGGAATACAAGCCCTGTGAGGAATGACTGATGGAGCTGGGGTTGCTCAGCCTGGAGAAAAGGAGACTCAGGAGTGACCTTATCACGCTCTACAACTCCCTGAAAGGTGGCTGTAGTCACGTGGGGGTTGGTCTCTTTCTCCAGACAGCAACTGACAGAACTAGAGGACACAGTCTTAAGCTGCCCCAAGGGAAATATAGGTTGGATATTAGGAAAAAGTTTTTTACAGAGTGATAAAAGTACTGGGGAGGTGGTGGAGTCACCATCCCTGGATGTGTTTAAAAAAGAGTGGATATGGCACTCAGTGCCATGGTTTTGTTGAGGTGTTAGGGCATGGGTTGGACTCGATGATCTTGAAGGTCTCTTCCAACTTAGTGATTCTGTGATTTTCAATTTAGGATGATAATATTAATTTAAGCTTGAATCTGTTCAGGTCATCTTTTTTCTCTTACTAATTTTTGGACATAGGAAAACAGTGAGGTTTTTCTGGGTTGCTATTACACATGCTACTGAGGTTTCTTAAGAAAATAGCTCTCTTCATTCTGTGGCTGTCCCAAATGGATCTAAACTTCCATATAGCTGTGTATTTTGGTCATCTGTAGCAGTGGGTGGATGCAGAGTCACCTCAACAATTCTTAATTGTGAATTTTGGAGGTTTTGTCGTGGCATCTTCATGCTCTCTGCTTTAAAAAAATGGACAAAGGAACCGAGAGAGGAGGAAACCTCAGTCTCATTTACAGCTTGTGTTGCCAGAGTGGAATGGTGAATGTAGGTGCCAATAGCCAGAGGTTTGCTCAGTCTTCTTCAATCTGTTACTTTTGATAACTCCTTGTTTGGATTGTGCCTAAAACCAGCTCTAGGTGTGTACTTAGTGAGCTGTCTTTTCCAGTGATATTTTTTCAAATACATGAACAATTGTTTTTTAAATTCTTCCTGTTTTTTTTCTTTCTTTCTTTTATTTTTCTCTTTGGGTTAACAAACTATTCAAGACTGCTAGGCTGCTCTTTTTCTGTGCATGCCTCTGTGTCATATGCTTAACATCATATTGTTCATCTGCATTTCCTAATCACAAGTACAGACCTGTGAAACTACATGCCAGCTAATAAGTGGTATTTTTGTAATCTGTTGGGAAGTGACAGTTTTCATATTGATTGCTGTCTTTATAAGGAAAATTTTTAAGCTTGTCACACTATCTCATCTCTTACTCGCACCTTTGCAATGACCTCTTGGGTGCAAATATACCCACGTGTGACCTATTTGAAAAGAAAAAGTTAATTTTAAAATGCCATCTGCTTTGTTTTATTCCCATAACATTCTTTGAGCTACTGTTTCAACCTCTGTATGTAATTAAATACATTTTAAAATTCCTGTGTATCTAGTTCTTGTTTGGGAGAGAGATGTTAAGATCCATTCTGATGCTCTTGGATCACCATTCATCGTTGTTGATTACTATGCACCTCCTTTGCCCTGTAGCCACCTAACTTCTCAGACTATTTTCCTCGGGATTGCCTTAGCTGAAGTAACTGAGGGCAGCTGGATCCCTATTTCTCTGTACCCTGGGGCTGTTCTTGAGTAAGGTAGTATGAGGAGTAAGTAACCTATAGCTTCATGCAAACTTACCTCAGTCAAAAACAGGGACTATCCTGAGGTGACATTAATGAATAATTTATCTTTTTCTCACCATCAGTCATTAACATGACTCAGTTGAAGCTGTAAAGATTTTTAAATGTTTTAAAGTTGTAAAGC